GGAGCACAGGTGAAGGCAATTCACCTGTGCTGCCGGAAGGGGTGGAGCCAGGCTCCACCCCTCCTGGACCTATTTAAGAGCTGGCTACCACAGGGGAAAGATCTCTTCTGGAGATCCTCCTCTTTTGGTATCTTCTAGTGAGCTCAACCCAAGGGTAAGCTCTTCTACTTATTCTCTTTTGCGATCCTTGTTTGCTTTTGCCTTACTCTTTTGATTATATTGCAATTATAACATCTTGGTTATACAGCAGTGCTGTCCACAAAAATAAAAGTCTCTGGGCAATCAGCAACATGCTCAAAACAGCTGTCCTGCGCTAATGACCTTCTCTAATACACTTAGCTTGGACTTGTTTTTTGGTACAGTTTCCTTAGAAAACTAGTCTTACGCAACTGGGCTATTCGTTAGCTCTCTCCCTGCAACAACTTTGAAATCATAAACTTATTTCAATAAACCTGACAAGAGAGAAAGAGAGAGAGGTCTCAAAGATGATCAGTTTGTAGACACTTTATGATAACTGGTCGCAAGGTCAGTGACAGGGTCTCCATTCAGACTCTTATTGGCAGAAATAAGGTCTTATCCCAGAGCTCTCTGGCTGATTTTTCAAAGTGATCAGATAGAGAGCAGCTCAAAAGAAGAAAAGTCCAGACTAGAAAGAAATAGGAGCTATTGCTTTATTAAGAGAGACCAAGCATAAAGCAGTCTGGTAGGAAAGGTGTACCTTCGTCCCTTTTTTTACTTTTCTACCTCCCAGCTAAGAGAGAAACAAGATATCCAGATGCCCTTCTTCAAGTATGCACACCCTTTTCAACATAGGTAGAAACAGCGGTTTCTACAGGGTCCTATGCATTTCTCCTTTCCACCTATGTGCATGCAAGTAAACAAATAAATCCCTAATGCCATGACTCAGTTTCCTTTCTCATCACCTTCTCCACCCCTAAACTTCTCCCTCCCAATTCTTACCACTGCCACAGTTACACATTGAGAGGGAAAGGAGGAACCAGACAGTGCATCTCCTTGATACGTACTGCATATACTTTACTTGCCACAACAGATCTCAATCCATACAACCTTCATATCTTTTGTGGAGATGAATAAAGAGAAAAAGGAAGGGGGTGTACACTGAGTCTCCCAGGTGCTTACCCTGCTCTTTTCAGTCTCCTATCATGCTCCCAGTCTGCTGAATCTGAAGTAGATGAACTGGAAGCGAGTGGTTTTTGGCTCCATCTCTCCTTCTGTCGATGCTGTGAGCCATCAATACACTTTGTGCAGTGCAGCCAGTGAAAGAGCAACACAGAAAGTACGGGCTCCTCCAACCTTACTAGCATCTGCATTGCTTCTCTCTCTAACTGTATAGTGACCATTCTGTTATGAAGTCCAGCAAATCTGCTAGCTAGATTCAACAGATCATATTTGACCCAATGAGTGACAAATGAAGAGAACTGCCTTTTCCAATCTGCAACCTAGTGACTGCTGCTGTGCATGAACATACACCAGCTAACACATGAGCTAGTTTTTCCACAATTACCAAGTTAAGCAGACATGGAGAGGATTTCAACTGACAGCTAGAGTTCTTACAGTGAGGTGAGATAGTCTGTGGAATATGGTATTCCAAGTAGTTAAAGTGACGGACAGAAGAATAGTAGGAGTGTACTAACGGCGCAGAAACTTGCAGTCCTCTGACAGCACATGACTGAAGTACTGGGTAAATCTGATTCAAAAAGTCAGCCACTTCAGGCTTTGGGTTCTAAACACAGGATCACAGGGTAATTCAAGCTGGAAGGCACCTCTTGAGTTCCAAACTCAACTCAGAGTCATCTGTGAAGTTAGATCAAGTTTCTCAGGACTTTAGCTTGTCTGGTCTTAAACAGACAAAGAATGGACACTGTGCAACCTCACTGGGAAAACTGTTCCACTGATTGACAATTCTCATGGTCATAAACGTTTTCTGGTACCTAGTGCAAACATTTCTGTTTTCTCTTCCCTCATACTTCAAAAGTACTACTAATTTCTTGGAATATTTTTTCCAAGATTTCATTTCCCTTCATAAAATATGTTTGCTGCTGGCTTTTGCGTAAAGAAATCAGGGACATCACTGGGAAAAAAAGCCTTGAGTTTGACATTCATTTAAATCTATTTGAAGAATTAAAGAGAGATCACATTAGTCAGAACAATCAATTCCATATGTCTAAGCTATGGTCAAAGGTACACTCGCAATGCATTCAGAATGGAATACATGCAGATATGTAGGCAGGCCTGAAATACCTTGAATTTGGGTAATTCCATTACAGAAAATAATCAAGCTGATCTTTGCATGTGGTTGGCACTCGAGTATCTACAGGTTTCCAACTGGATATTGCAGCCTTAAATGTCCAGTAACCTCAGTGATGAAAGCCTCCTTACATTCACTGAAATTAAGTGCAGCTATCATGAGAGGCACTGGGCAGTGAGGAAATGTGATGGAATGAGTGGTTATCACCAATAAACAGACCTGACCTGTAGCTGTTATCAGAGGCAGAAGTGAGCTCTGATGCTGAAAGGGCTCTGGATTGTTGTGTAACTGATATAACACCATGAAACAGAAAACACGTATGACACTGAGATATGAGTGGGAGCATCCATGGAGAAGGTGACTGGATATCCACTCAGTCCTTTAAGATCACCTTTCAATTTTCTCATACTCAAAGAAATACAAGCCTAATCACTGCCACTGTGATTTCTGGTATCTCCTATAGGACTGAAAGATGTAATATGATTTCATTTCAGTCTTACACATATGGAGCTGCTCTGCTATGTTCCTCTCCATTACTTTCCCCAGGGAGAAATAACTGGAAATTTTATACTTAGGAAAGAAAATGTGAAGTTGAGGAAAGAAAATGTGAAGTTGAACATCACCAAACGTGCAGACTATGACTTCTAACTAGATCATAGGAAAATGTCCCTGGGGGAGATGGAGAAATCACGTGGTTTGCTTAAAATTGGAATGGAAAAAGGCCCAGAGCAAGCTCAGGGCACAATCCTGCATTGGTCCCTGTGTGGTGACTAAACTAAATGTGACTGATTGTGATCTTTCTAGCACTGATTAAACCCCTCAAATTCTGCATTCAAAATCTGCTACATGCAAATTCCAAGGTAGAAACAACAGAAGCATAGCATCCTCCTATCTCTGGCTTCCTCTTGAAAAGGCAACACAGAGCCTGTATATTAAACATTCTGCAGAAATCTAACCAGTACACCACACAGCAAGAACACAAAGTTCTACTCACAATAGGGTATTCATTTCCAACCCTAGAGCTCAAACCTAGCACTTAAATACATTGCAAAACAGGGAATACAACCAATAACTCCATGAAGGCTGAAATGAAAAATCTAGGCTGTCCAATGAGAATTGTTCTGAGCAAGCCCAAGCAAAATTAAAAGATACAACCTGCACCCAGTTCAGCCTCTAGTACTCTAAAGAGATGCATATGAATGTAAATCTATGACCTACATGTATGAATGATACTTGCAACACATTAGTTATACTGGCTTTTTGTAACACAGACACCAGGTCAGAGATCATAAAAATCCTACCATGCATAGGAACAATTAGCTTCATGGTTAAGCAAGAAAGCTTTGTGGCATTCTTAAGTCCACAGAGGTTGCTACCAGATGCATGTTTAGTATTTATCTGAATAGTGTTGTGGTGAGAGGGACCAAAAATTAATGCTATCGTAACAACACACACTGTTAAAAGTGGTATAGGACATCTGTCAGACTGTGGGAAAATAATGTCCTTGACAGCATGTGTATATAAAACACATGGGAAGGGCAGAAAAAGAGGCAATGCATGTTTTGATGTGCTGAGCACACAGACCTGTGTGAGTTTAAAGAATCTCAAAAGAGGTATTGCAGTGATCTTTGCCATGCAAACATTCCAGAAAACATAAAAGATTTCTTTAGGTCACAAGGCCATCTGCGACCAGTTAAGAAAGAAAGACTAGCTGTGGGAATTAAAGCCTAAGGCAGACATTGGAGGCTGCAGTGTAAAGTTTGCTTCTGCATGAGTATATGCTTATGCTCACAAAGGGCTTTCTCACTAATTCAAGAGGTGTCACAGCAGCAGACTTTGATGTAGCCACTCAGATTTACTTTAGGGACCTGGTTTGATCTGCTTGTCCTCGTAGTTTTCCCAAATGTCAAAGTGCCTGTGTGCTTTTGGGAAAGACTGGAGAAATGGGTGTTTCACCAAAAATGAGCTGTTTTTCTCTCAAGGGCTGTTTGGCTGGCTTGAATGACGTGTTTCCACATATCTGATGTCTTCATATGCGGCGTGGATGGAAATCATTTTTTTCTGTGAGGAGGAAAGCGTGCCCCTCAATCCCAATTTTAACTAGAGGGACCTGCGCTTACCTATCGAGGGACCTCGAGAGATCGAGGGATATATGCATGTGTGTAGGAGGAGAGAGCTAGGTTTGCATAGCCCAAAGGCTTGGAATCCTCTCCGAAAAATGCGTGGCCCAGTGGAAATACGCTATTTCTCCTACCTCGTCCCCTCGAAATGGCTCCGCGAGAAGGAAAGGATTTCGTTTTGCTCGCCGCTCTCCCCTGAAGCGCATGTAAGGGGGAAGGAGGAGAGCAGACGTGCAGATCGCGCAGTGTTATGTATGCTCGGGCGACAATAAACCGCCGCCGAGCGAAACAGGGAGCCGCCGCCGTCCGCCCGCTCCCGCCGCGGGAGGCACGCCCCGCACCCTCCCGGAGGCAGCGCGCCGACCCGCACCTCCGGCAGCGGAGATGCCCCCGGCTGCGCCCCGCGCCGACCCTGCGCTGCCTCTCGCCCCGCCGGGAGCGGGCAGGGTGCGGCGGGGAGCGGTGGCGGGCGGCTAATGGCGCTGAGCGGCGGCGGGGAGGAGGGGGTGCGAGGGGCGGCCCGCGACCCACCGCTCCGGCACCGTCGTGCGGAGGAGCGGGGGCTGCGGCCCCCCGAGCATCCCCGAGCACCGTCCCCGCCGACGCCTTACCCACGGTGCGGGATCCGATGCAGCCCATCACTCCGGCAGGTCTCCGGGAAGAGGCGGCGGTCTCGGCGGCGAGGAAGCGGAGGACGAAGGCGACGGGGAGAGGTCGGAAAGGAGCCGGTGCCTTCAGCGGGAGGCGCCGGGCTGGCCCAGCCGGGACCGGCGCGGGGTCATGGCCAGGTACGAGCGCGGGCTGCCCCCGGCGCGGAGACGCGGGCCGGGGGATCCCGCGGGCCGGCAGCGCGGCGCCGATTGGCTGCCGGCCTCCGCGGCCCGGGGAGGCAGGGCCGGGCCGGGCCGGGCCGGGCCGCGCCGTCCGCCCCCGGGGAGCGCGGGAGCGGGGCGGAGGCGGGGGCCTGGCCGGCCGGAGGCGGGCGCCGCGCGGCCTCTCCCGCCCTCCGGGACAGCGCAGGTGAGCGGCAGGCGGGCGGTGCTGCCGCACTGGCGGGCGACGAGCAGGTGGGGCCGGGGGCGGAGGGGAGCGTCCCCGGAAGGAGAAGCGAGGGGCACGGGGATGCTGGAGATGGAGGCGGCAGCACGGGCGGGCTGGAGGGCGGCGATTCGCGCTGGTTTCCCGGTAACTACACTTGCAAACTTGATTCAATTAAAGGCAGCCCCCCTAGCGGCGGCGGCGGACGAGTCCCCCGGGAGGGGCCTGGCTTCTCGCAGCTCTCGCTGCCGGAGAGCCGCCGAGGGCGACGGCGGGGGTCCCCGACCTGATTTGCTTCTTCCAGAGATGCTGCCGCCCGGAGCGCTCCCACGTGCGGGTGCAGACTGCGGCGCTGCCCTCCGCCCTTCCAGCGGTGGACAGGTGAAAGGAGAGAGCTCAGCCCTGTGGAGGATCGCCTCTGGCCTTTCCCATGCCTCCCTGCCGGCATGGTTGTAAAGAAGGATCTCCAGGGGCAGGTGCTACGTCTGCCCCCGTCGCGGCTCAAATTTGTCCTCGCCTGATGGCAACAGGCAAAGTCGTCCTTGTCCACTTCCCCGGCACCACCGGCTGTCCTCAGTTTTCACCTTCCCACCCTCGTGCTGGGATGTGCTCGTGGTTTCTCCCTGTTGCTTTGTGCTTCCTTCATCTACAAATCCTATCCGATCTCACCAGCTTCCTTCCACCAGCCTAGCAAATTAAATTCTGTTGATCCCATATGAGTTATTTTGTTCTCAGCCTTGGGCCTCATTCATTTTCGTTTATGCTCAAGGCAGCTGAGCAGTCTTACTAACAACAGAAATGGGGAATAGGTAAGTTCATTCTCCCATATATGGCTTACGCTGAGCCTAAGGAAACATTTAAAAAAGAAAGAAAGAGAGAAAGAAAAGAAGGAAGAGAGGAAGAAAGAAAGAAAGAAACAGAAAAAGGCTTTACATAAAGAATACATGTTTTGCCTGAGACTCTGTAGGTAGAGAGGGACTCTGCCTATGTAGGCTGCTTCCAAAGTAAAAGTTACATAGGAAAGACACGCAGAAAAGAAAAGATGGCAATGTCTGAATACAAGCAGCTGTTACATATTTTCTCCTTCTCCCTGGCACTGAAGATCTAGTAAGCATGGTGAACATAACACTCCTTACGTATAAGAGATCCCAGTCTCCTGTCCGGGTTCCCGAGGCCGCCATGAGTGCTATAATGTTCTTCACAGCACATTCTTGTTTTCAGAGAGGATGAAATTTCTCCACAGTTGTTTTTTTCTTCTTCCTCCTCCATGCATTTCCAAATCTGTCAGGTTTCATGCTGTTTTTTTTTGTTGTTGTTGGTTGTTTTGTTTTTTTTTTTTAATGACTCAGTATTTTCCTGATGTGTCTGAACTCCTGAAACCTAAGTTTTAAAAATGCTGGGAAACTGTAGATCTTGTGGAAGTTTGTTACCTAGAGGTGTTTTAGCCTCTCTGAAGAGCACATCCACATTGACTTCCAGGTCTAAATGCAAGGACAGGAGAAACAAAAGCAAATTGAAATAGGAAGAATGGTATTTTAAGACACAAGGCCGGTCTTAGATAAATGTTTTGTAAGCTAGTGAGTGCCCAGACAGCTGTTGTACGTGGATTGATCAGGACAGCTGTCCTGAGGAGGCTTACCAAAAACCCCACCAAACAGCTTTTGCATCTTATCTTTGCATAGAGAAGATGTATTACTAATACAGCTGTGGGAGATTTCTTAAGTCTTTCTCCTGTTTCATGTTTCAATTTTAATCCCCCTCTCTCCACCCACAGTCTAAAATTGTTACTCTGTAAACCTTCTTTCTGATCTCAGGCATATCTTTCAGTGGTGGTTTCAGGTAAGTCACATTGACTCCTCATTTTCTTTCCTGGGCTTGACACTTTACCTTGTCAATCACTTTGTCTCAAGCTCATCATCATACCTGGGTCCTTTCAACTCTGGATTTGGCTTTCCTTTCATTGAACTACAATAAAATCTGCATCAGTCTGTTCTGACTTTGGCCTCAGGGTATGATTCCATAAGTAGCTGAGCAACTCCTAGCACTTACTGTGCCTGAAAATCAGCTTTCCAGTTCTTGATGGATTGGCTTTCTGCTGCTTTAGTGACATGGTAGTTTACACAAGGATCTGGCAAGTGATAATGATGCTGTAAGGTACGGAAAAGTACGGATCAGGCAAGCAGAGCAGAAAAAGAACTGGCAAAGAGGAGGACTTCTCACTTCCAGGGATGACGAATATCCAGTGTTCCCACTAGATTATACCAAAGTGTCTGTTCATTCACTGCACAGAACTACTGACCTGCCCTCATGGCTGGTGCCACGGACTCCTATTTTTTGTTTTGAATCAATACCACCCAGCTGTGGAAGTACTTCTACCTGTTAGCACCCAAGCACCCACAGCCATGCTTTATCTGCCATTTCTTATGTAGTCAGTTTAAGCAAAAGATAGTGTCTTTATTGGTTCTTACTCTTATATTTATTCATTACAGACTTTATGTATATAAATGTACTTTAAATAGTAAAATTCATGTGAAGCTGGGAAAACTTTCTAGGCTATCAGTAGTTCTGACAGCTGCTTGACTCTTCCATACAGGAGGTTCCATGCGAGCTTATCATCAGAGAACAATTTCTTGTTTTTAATAAGCCAACACCTAACTTTTCTTCCTAAATTCACTTGAAGTGCAATTTTTATCATACATTAGCATAAGAAAAGAGCAGCTATTTTACATTCTGAAAAAATACTGCAGCATCTCAGTTATTAGATATAGCTTAGATTGTTACTGACTTCTAACGTGCCCATATAGTGTGTGTAGGAGACATTCCCGCTTCTGACTTTTGATTCAAACAAAGATTGTGTCAAAATGGCCACCAGGAGGATTCTTTTTTTTTTCTATTGAAGGAAGATGAAATTCTAAACTCAAGCCATATCTGTTAATGTCCTGTGATGTCTTTTCCGCACAAGGCATATTTTATGAATATTCTCATGTATGAGAAAAGCAAAAGGACTGAATCTCTGAACTAAAACAGAGCATAAGCAGAGTAAAGCTGATTGCTTTTCCTGAGATGCTGCTGCAAGGGTCAAGAAGTAAATGAACAAAACAAAAACAAAAACAAAAGTGCTTTTTTTTTCCTTTGAAATGCACTTTCTGACAGGTTCTGAAGATCTTTTTGAGTATTGCAGGTACTTTCTTAGATAATTAGGCTACAGTTTCATGTGGAAAGTGTGTACAAAATATGTTTTGTGTAGTGGTGATTTAAATGCTGATCTGAAAGATCTTGGTAAATATAAGTGTTCACATAGGTGCAATGATCAGTGGTGTAAATTCTAGCTGGAGGCCAGTAATGAGCAGAGTACTTCAGGGTTCAATACAGGATCCAGTCCTGTTGAACATTTTCATTAACGACCTGGTTTATGGAGCAGAGTATGCTCTCAGCAAGTTTGCAGATGCCACAAAACTAGGAGAAGTGGCTGATACAACAGATGGTCGTGCTGCCATCCAGAGGGACTTCAAGAGGCCGGAGGAATGGGCTGAGAGGAACCTCATGAAATTCAGTAAGAAACGTACAGTCCTGCACCTGGGAAGAAACAGCCTCGAGCTCCAGGACATGCCACCTAACTGGAAAGCAGCTCTGCAGAAGACCACTAGGGGAGTCCTGGTGGTGAGCAATTGAGATTGACAGACCTGTAGTAAAAAAAAAAAAAGAAGTGTGTGCTCCAAGTGAGCACTTGTTTCAGGGTTGAATGCCAGGTTGACCTGTACAGCTGGGAAGCGACAGGAGCCATCCATCAGCTTCTTCCCCCCATCCCTGCACTCAGGGAGAGGTCTGAGCGGGAGAGGGTGGGCAGAAAGATGTGCTTGAGCAAAGCTCTGCCTAGCAGAGACATATATATAATAGCACAGAGCAAAGCAGTTTCAGAAAAAGATCTGATTTTTAACAGCTTCTTCCAAATCCATACTGTAGCACTTCCATCATAACCCCGAAGACAAACTTATGCTGTAAATTGTTAATTAATTTTTATTTGCTTTTTAAGACATGCTGTTAAGCATTGATTACCTTTTCTTTAAGCTAGTGATTAATTGTACTATTAAACCTAATTTTCCCTATGTTCCCTGTAGCTCTGTATATATATATATATAATATAATATATATATAATATATAATATATATATATATATATATTATTATATATATATTATATAAAAATCTTTTAGGTTAGAATACTGGAGCAAATTCTTCCTGAGAAATACTGCTTGTAAAATACAAAGCTACTGTCACTGTCACACTTGCTTAATAAATATATTAATTTCACAGTAATTAATTATCAGGGATGGTGATTATATTACAATAAATAATGTGCCCCATGTCTTCTGCCTTAAGTCCCTTTTAAAGCTGTGCAAATGCAAAAAATTACCAATATAAATCTTGCCACTGAATGTTCCACTTCTAACTAAACTTTGCTAACTCCAAAATAATTTAAAATATCATCCTTCTCTCTGTCATTCATCCTAACATTAATTTCCATCCCCAAAGATCTCATCAGCAACCATGTCTATCCATCTATGAAAAGACTGAAAAACAACTGCTCATTTTGCTTTCCTTCTTTGATTTATTTTTTTTTTTTAAAT